GTAATTGAAATAAATTTAAACTGCCCATGCTATACTAACAGGATTTATCTAAAAAAAAGTTACACTTTTTTAAGTTAGGTTCCATGAATTTCTAAATTTTGGTTCAAACAAAAATCTTTGTCATTCTTTCGACTAGCTGGTCGTATCCCACCAAGGAAGGGTGGCCCAAAAAGAAAAACGAAAGTTACTCTTTTTAAATTTAGTAATTTATACAGGAGAAGGGGTTACTAGGCCCTTGCTCCCGGCATTTTAGTAGCCTCTTACAACACGCATGGCTTACGGAGGAAGAATTCTGTTCCATATCCCATTGGAGATAAGAGGAAATAAGAAAAACAAGAACTAGTAAGAAAATAGAAGAAAACCCAGAAGGGTGTATATACAAATGCTGTACTTATTTTGTAGTGTGCCTAAGTGTAAGTAGAAGTAGAAAGACGTACCTGAAATCTTGCATTTTTATGAGACAGAGAAAAGACATCAAATCCTACCATCATGTAAACAATTTACAGGCTTCCGTTTTACACTCATTTGGGCAGGACGGTAGTACCTCCCTGGACGGTTGCTGTCTACCAACCTACTACATATAATATATAATATATATTATATAATTATATATATAATATATTTATATTATATATATATATATCATATATATTATAATATAATAAAATATATATTATATATAATACAGGCCACTATGCTACCTGGAAGGAGGGAAAAGAGTTTGCCTGGACTACACCTGTCTGCCACATTGGCAGACACCTATTTCCATCCCTCCGTAGAGGAAGGGGTTTGGAGCTCCCACCCAGGGACCCAGAGATCCGAAAATATGGAAGACCTTCCCCTGCCAAAACTTTCATTCCAATAGGCCGGAGACAATTGGAGCATGGGGCAAGCGTGCTCTGAAGTTCCTCAAAGAGCTTGGTGAAAAGCCATCATAGAAACCAAGGACCAAAAGGGCGACCAGCTTTCTCTTTTAGAGACCAGTTTTGCGATCCAGAGAGGAAATGCCTGCAGCATTGGGGCACGCGCCCACCGCAGGGGAGCTGACGAAGTATTCGAGATGTAGCCTGAGTTACCTATGTTGTTTACTTTCTGTTGTATTTTGTGAATTTTGGCCATTATTAAATGTCTTCAAATAAAAACCATACTTGAAATAAGGGGTGGTAGAGAAATTCTCAAACAGTTTCACGTAAAAACCTTGAGTTTCCTGAAGAAAGTTTATTCTTTTCTCTGAGGATGAGGTTGGGCTATGACAGTTCTAGAGGTGTACCCCTACATTATATTATATTTATATATATATTTTATATATTTTATAAATATTTTATATTTATTATTTAAAAATATATAAATATATTATAATAATATATAAATATATATTAATATATATATATATTTAATTTATTATATATATATAATATTATATAAATATATATAATTATATATATAATATTTATATTATATAATATAATATATATATATATATTTAATATTATATATATATATATATATTATATATATATATATATATGTCGTGCCGAATATGTAAAACGGGTCAATTAGCAAAAATTATTTAAAATTAAATCCTTTCTAAAAAATTTTCCCTTATAAGTTTAAAAGATATATTTTTTTGATTAATGTTAATGTAAAATTTTTAATTTTGCACCAAAAGGAACTTAGAAAACTTACCTAACCTTATAACAAGAACAATTTATTTTTGCCTAACCCAACTAAATATATTTTAGATTTGTTTTTCAATAATTTAATACTAAACAAACAAGTGAAATAAATTTTTTTCGCTAGGTTCAGAATGATTTTTGGGGAAATTATTGCATACACAAATTTTCGCTTGTCCCATATGGCAAGATGAGCGTTGCTATTTAAGCCAAGATCGCAAGTTCTGCCTATTCGGCACGACATCTACATATATATATATATATATATATATATATATATAATATAATATATATATTATATATATATATATATATATATATTATTATATATTATTCTACCGAATAAGGCAAGCGAAAATTTGTGTACCAATTAATTAATCGAATTTTTCTTTTTTTTTAATAACATATCAAGGAGGGATAAGATTCAGTTTGCGGAGAACTCGTGTTGTGGCTTTGGAAATAACGTGCCGGTGTCTCCACATAGTTGTGTCACGAGTCAGGTAGGGCCGAAAGGTCGTCTGGCACTCTTTCTGGCTCTCTCCTTGGCACTTGGGTCTGTAGTGTGCCAGGTGAGCCTCGTTTCCGGGGTACAGGTGGTAGAGTTCACGCTCTTGATCTATCTCTCCTTGTAGGTTGACTAAGGCGAAGTGGGCATGAAGACCGAGGGCACGCGAGGTGTCGTGGATAGCCTTGGAGAACACCTTGGGGGGTGTCATCTTGACGGTGCGGGTGACGTGACGTAGTAGATGCAGGTATTCAGGCAGGTAAGCTGAGGGTGTCTCAGACTGATCGTCAAAGTAGTAGAAGCAGCGGGCCAGGTAGGAGGTGGGTGAAAGGCCTAGGGAGGCCGCACGGGCCTTAGCTTCGTCCAGCATCTCTGGGAGGGAAGTGTGGGTGGTGGGCAACACAAACTCGTCTATATCCCACACGCCCACGTACCTGTGAGTGTCGATGTGGCGCAGTAGGCAGTCCGTGTAGGGGACGTTCTCAATGGTGAACAGGTCGTACCTGCAACATCAAGCATTACAACAATAAGGATATGCGCGAGAAGGAATAAAAAAAAAAAGGTAAACCCACTAAGATGTACGGACCTCCAATACAATCCGCCAACACCAAGTTACACGTAACACATCCAGCATAGTGGTAAGAAATTCGCTAAAAAAATAAATAAATAAATAAATAATAATAACAACACATAATAATAATAATAATAATAATAATAATAATAATAATAATAATAATAATATGTCAACAATCAAGAAATCCACCGAACAAAAACGAATATAAGAGACTTTTACAGTAATAAGCTTAACTAATAATAGTCAAATCATAATTAGCTTATAAAGTGGTGCAGTAAATTAGAGATAAAACATTTCCTCATGTATTTGCTAATAAGAATTGAAAGAAAACAACACTTGAGGGTTGTTAACCAAGGATAAACCACTTAAGTCCTTTCCTTGGATGCTACTCGCAATAGTCGACTAGGTGCATACTTACTGCTAGATGAACAGATACAGCAGGAGGAATGAGACTTGACAACAGTTGTCCTACGAAAAAATTGGAAGAGCCGAGCGTTCTACCACTGACATCCCTTTTACGACTTAGGTTTCTCATTCTCCACGAGTTCGGGCTGCGAGAATAGCGTGTCTGACTCTTGAAAAGCGGAAGGAGGATCGAACCTCTATCACTTCTTACTCTAAATAATCCACACGTGTTTGGAGCTCTCTAAAAATATAACAACAATGGCTCTCCTCTTACCTTTTTAGGTGTCTCACCTCTGAGTATTATAAAGGGCAGTGTTGAGGTGAGGTATGGAGGGATGGGTCCCAGGATTGGTCCAAGGTCGAACATCGAGGAACCCCTCCTTCTGGTAATGCCTCAGTACGAGGCTGACGTTGGGATGGGTGCCACCTCCGTCGTAGACGGTGACTTCATCCACCCCCCACGCCCGCGCCGCTTCAACCCACTCCACCAGCCTGATGAACACAAGGAACAAATCGGATTTACAAATGGTGTGCTGCCGATAGTACTAGTAAAAAAAAAAGGACACAGGTTGCAGAACAAGTATTTATTGGGGTAACATTTCGCTGTGTGTAAAGCTTTGTCAAGAAATGATAAAGCTCTACACAGAGCAAAACTGTTGTCTAAATATAGAATATTTCTACGACCCTTGTCTTATCTTCACAAGGAACAGGTGATGAACACAGTGCACACCTGAGTTGAGAAGGTCTTACCACTAAACATAAATGCACTCTCCTACAATAAACTCTTTCCTCCACCACAAAACTCTGGTACTTAAACAAAAAGCAGTAAGTTCACAAATAGTGTCTTAATATAACTCAAAACTAGTCCCCTCCACCTCACAACCCTTAAAACAAAAAACTTTTACACAATGAAACTATTTCCTTAAACTTTTCCCACAAAGTTCACTCTGCTAGCACAAAAAAAAAACAAGATTTCACCTGGAAATTCATGTCCAATTATCTCTCAGTCGTAAAACTCTTTCTAGTATCAGGCAGCGGGAGCGTTAACACCCGAAACCCTCTCCAAGTATACTCCAGGTATACTTCAGGTATACTCAAGGTATACTCCAGGTATACTCCATGTATACTTCAGGTATACTACAGTAAACCCTCCTCTTTACCAAGGAAAAATCTTATTCCTACACAGAATTCCCTCCTCCACAAGTAAATTTCCGTTCCGTTCCTCCGACACCCACCTCATAGAGAAGTCCTTGGTGGGGTTAAAGATGAATTTGTGACAGAGAGCGAGATGTTTCTTTGGCTGAAGCGACTCTAACACCCGCCCTTCTTCCTCCTCCTCCTCCTGCTGTTGCTGGTACTGCTGGTGCTGGAATTGCTGGTGCTGGTATTGCTCTTGCTGGTAATGCTCTTGCTGGTCGGATTGCTGTTGCTGCAGGTGCTGCTGCTGGTTTTGGTTGTGGACCCTGAGAGCGTTGGTGGCAAGGTCGCAGGCGTGAGATACAAGAGACACCACCTTAGGGACACCCCTGGGGCCCCTACCGGCTCGGCAGGATACAAGAAAGGGCAGCCAGTGACCTGCCAGACGGTCCTGCCAGTGGATATAATCTGAGGGAAGACAGCAACAGAAAGAGCTGAGTTTAGGGTCATATAGCATTTGGGAAATGGGAGATAAATTGGTTTGATCCAAATAATAGGATGGTGGATTCACTTCCTTAGATCAAGAACCTTTACTAGAAACAAAGCTCTCCATCAGACGATGCTGGGTTAGGGGGCTCCTTGTTGATGTATCCAAGAATCTGGTCCTCCGTATGTGAGGTACCACTCTGGGTTCACCACTTAGTGGTTGCTACTTATGGTTCACCACTTAGTGGTTGCTACTTATGGTTAATCATTTAGTGGTTACTACTTATGGTTCACCACTTAGTGGTTGCTACTTATGCTTCACCACTTAGTGGTTGCTAGTTATGCTTCACCACTTAGTAGGTACTATTTACGGTTCACCACTTAGGGGATGCTACTTATGGGTCATTACTTAGGGGATGCTACTTATGATTCACCACTCAGTGGTTGCTTATGCTTCACCACTGAGTGGTTGATATTTATGGTTCACCACTTAGTGGTTGCTACTTATTGCTCACAACTTAGAGAATGTTACTTTTGGGTCACCATTTAGGGGATGCTACAAATGGGTTCCCAATTAGGGGACGCTTCTTATGGGTCACCACTTACAGGATGCTATTTATGGGCTACCACTTAGTGGGTGCTACTTATGGGTTACCACTTAGTGGTTTCTACTTATGGGTCACCACATAGTGGATGTTACTTATGGGTCACCACTTAGGGGATGCTACTTATGGGTTTCCACTTAGGGGATGCTACTTATGGTTCACCACTTAGTGGTTGCTACTTATGGTTCACCACTTAGGGGATGCTACTTATGGGTCATCACTTAGGGGATGCAACTCATGGGTTACCACATAAAGGATGCTACTTATGGGTCACGAGTTAGAGGGTGCTACTTATGGGTTGACACTTAATGGTTGCTACTTATGAGTTACCACTTAGTGGTTTCTACTTATGGGTCACCACATAGTGCATGCTACTTATGGGTTACCACTTATGGGATGCTACTTATGGGTCACCACTTAGGGGGTGCTACTTATGGGTCACCACTTAGGGGATGCTACTTATGGGTTACCACTTAGGGGATGCTACTTATTGTTCACAACTTAGTGGTGGCTACTTATGGTTCACCACTAAGTGGTTTATACTTATGGGTCACCATATAGTGGATGCCATTTATGGGTTACCACATAGGGGATGCTACTTATGGGTCACCACTTAGGGGATGCTACTTATGGGCCACCACATAGTGGATGCCACTTATGGGTTACCTCTTAGGGGATGGTACTTATGGGTCACCACTTAGGGGATGCTACTTATGAACTACTACTTAGTGCAAGTTACTTATGGGTTAAAACTTAAAGGTTGCTACTTATGGGTTACCACTTAGTGGTTGCTACTTATGGGTCACCACATAATGGATGCTACTTATGGGTTACCACTTTGGTGATGCTACTTATGGGTTACCACCTAGGGGATGCTACTTATAGGTTACCACTTAGGTGATGCTAAATATGGGTCATCACGTAGTGGATGCTACTTATGGGTCACCACTTACTGGTTGCTACTTATGGGTCACCACTTAGGGAATGCTTTATATGCGTCACCACAAAATGGATGCTACTTATGGGTCACCACTTTGGGGATACTGTTTATGGGTTAGCACATAGTGGATGCCACTTATGGGTTACCACTTAGGGGATGCTACTTATTGTTCACAACTTAGTGGTGGCTACTTATGGTTCACCACTAAGTGGTTTCTACTTATGGGTCACCATATAGTTGATGCTATTTATGGGTTACCACTTAGGGGATGCTACTTATGGGTCACCACTTAGGGGATGCTACTTATGGGTCACCACTTTGGTGATGCTACTTATGGGTCACCACCTAGGGGACGCTACTTATAGGTTACCACTTAGGTGATGCTAAATATGGGTCATCACGTAGTGGATGCTACTTATGGGTCACCACTTACTGGTTACTATTTATGGGTCACCACTTAGGGAATGCTCTATATGCGTCACCGCAAAATGGATGCTACTTATGGGTCACCACTTTGGGGATACTGTTTATGGGTTACCACCTACGGGATGCTACTTATTGGTCACCACATAGTGGATGCCACTTATGGGTTATCACTTATTGGATGGTACTTATCGGTCACGACTAGGGGAGGCTACTTATGGGCTACCACTTAGTGGTTGCTACTTATGAGTAACCACTGATTGGTTTGTACTTTTGGGTCAAAACATAGTGGATGTTCCTTATGGGTTACCACTTAGGGGATGCTACTTATGGGTCACCATTTAGGGGATGCTACTTATGGGTTACCACTTAGGGAATGTTACTTATAGTTGCTACTTATGGGTTACCACTTAGCGGTTTCTACTTATGGGTCACCACATAGTGGATACTGCTTATGAGTTACCACTTAGAGAATGCTTTTTATGGGTCACTACTTAGAGGATGCTACTTATGGATTACCTCTTAGGGGATGCTAATTATAGTTCACCACATAGTGGTTGCTACTTATGGTTCACCACTTAGATGATGGTACTTATGGGTCACCACTTAGGGGATGCTACTGATGGGTTACCACACAGGGGATGTATTTTTGGGTCTCGACTTAAGGGATGCTACTTATGGGTTCCGCTTAATGGTTGCTACTCAAGGGTTACCACTTAGTGGTTACTACTTATAGGTCACCACATAGTGGATGCTACTTATGAGTTACCACTAAGGGGATGCTACTCACGGGACACCACTTACGGGATTCTACTTATGGGTTACCACTTAATGGTTGCTACTTATGGTTTACCACTTAGTGGTTTCTACTTATGGGTCACCACATAGTAGATGCTACTTATGGATTTCCGCTTAGGGGATGCTACTTATAGTTGCTACTTATGATTTACCACTTAGTGGTTTCTACTTATGGGTCACCACATAGTGGATGCTAATTACGGGTTACCATTTAGGGGATGCTACTTATGGGTTAAAACTTAATGGTTGCTACTTATGGGTTACCACTTAGTGATTACTACTTATGGGTTGCCACATAATGGATGCTACTTATGGGACACGACTTAGGAAATGCAACTCATGGGTCGCCTCATAGTTTATGCTACTTATGGGTCACCACTTAGGGATGCTACTTATGGGTCACCACATAGCGGATACTACTTATGGGTCACCACTTAGGGGGTGTTAATTATGGGTTACCATTTAGGGGATGCTACTTATGGGTTACCATTTAGGGGATGCTACTTATGGGTCACCACATAGTGGATGCTACTTATGGGTCACCACTTAGGGGATGCTTCTTATGGGTCACACTTAGGGGATGCTACTTATGAGTCACCACTTAGGGGATGCTACTTATGGGTCACCACATAGTGGATACTGCTTATGGGTCACCACTTGGGGGTCGTTACCTATGAGTCACACTTCCGGGATGTTATTTATGGGTCACCACTTAGGGGATGCTACTTATGGTTGACAACTTAAGGGATTCTACTTATGGGTCACCACTTAGTGGGTGCTACTTGTGGGTTACCACTTAGCTGATATTCCTTATGGGGCACCACTTTAAGGATGCTACTTATGGGTTACCATTAGGGAAGGCTACTTATGGGTCGCCACTTAAGGGATGCTACTTATGGGTCACCACCTAGGGGATGCTACTTATGGGTTACCACTTAGGGTATGCTACTTATGGATCACCACATAATGGATGCTACTTATGGGTCACCACTTAGGGGCGTTACTTATGGGTCACACTTATTGGATGCTACTTTCGGGTTATCACTTAGGGGATGATACTCATGGGTCACCACTTAGGGGATGCTACATATGGGTTACCACTTAGGGGATACTACTTATGGTTCACCACTTATAGGTTCCTACTTATGGTTCACCACTTAGTGGTTTCTACTTATGGGTCTCCACTTGGTGGATGCTACTTATGGGTTAGCACTTAGGGGATGCTACTAATGGGTCATCACTTAGGGGATGCTGTTTATGGGTCATGATATAGGGGATGCTTCTTATGAGCTACCACTAATGGGATGCTACTTATGGGTTAAAACCTAATGGTTTCTACTTATGGGTTACCACTTAATGGTAGCTACTTATGGGTCACAACATAATGGATGCTACTTATGGGTTACCACTTAGGGGATGCTACTTATGGGTCACCACATAGGGGATGCTACTTATAGGTTTCCACTTAGGTGATGCTACTTATGGGACATCACATAGTGAATGTTGCTTACGGGTCACCACATAGTGGATGCTACTTATGGGTTACCACTTAGGGGATGCTACTTATGGGTTACCACTTAGGGGATGCTACTTATGGGTCACCACTTAGGGGAAGCTACCTATGGGTTACTACTTAGTGGTTGCTACTTGTGGATTACCACATAGAGGTTTCTAGTTATGGGTCACAACGTAGTGGATGCTACTTATGGGTTTCGACATACGGGATGCTACTTATGAGTCACCACTTAAGGGATGCTACTTATGGATTTCCACTTAGGGGATGCTACTTATAGTTGCTACTTATGATTTACCACTTAGTGGTTTCTACTTATGTGTCACCACATAGTGGATGCTAACAGGGCCGGATTACCGCATAGGCAAACTAGGCATTTGCCTAGGACCCCGCGCATTTGGGGGCCCCGCGGTCCAAGGGGTTCAGGGGCTCATCCAAGACTGCGCACATGGTGCAAGTGCAAAGGGGTCCCTACCTAAAAAGTTCAAGTGTTTGGAGAATAAAATTGATTTTTAAAAATTAATCAAAACAAAAATAAATAATGAAATAAAAATAAAAATAAATAAACCTAACCATAGATGGCAACACTCAACCGCCTTTTTTTACATAAACACGTGTTTTTCCGCAAGGGGTGAGATGGGAGACCCCTCTTAAATTTTTCTGTGAAATTATACTTTCTAGACTTGTACTGTGAAAATTTTAA